AAGTCTGATGATCAAAGCAGGCAGCAATGTTGAAACGAGCAGCGTGAGATGATAAAGCTGGTGATAGAGTAATTGGCTATGTGGCCTACTTAAGAGAAGCGAGATATATATATATGTACAGGAGTAGTGGAATGTTTGTTTACCTTTTTAATGTTTAAAATCCATAGGGTCTGTTTTGGAAGGCAAAACAGTAGCTCCCCAGTAAGAACAGAGTGATGGTGTGAGTGGTGCTGAGCCCCAAGGCTCCTGCCTCCTCAGCAAAGACCCCCTCCTGGGTCTCTAAGCTGCACAGCTCAATAAAGAAAAGCCATTGAACAGTAAAGGAGATGACATTCCCATAGAAAAGTCCAAGGACATGGAGGAAAAATTAGATCCATCCTGTGGAAGGGGCTAAGGTCCAACCTAGATGTGCTTATGCACTGTTAACCTCTGATCTGTTCTCTCTTAGAAGTTTTTATCATATACAAACAGTATTTTGTTCCAAGAATATCCTCCCTGGGGACCTCATGCCAGGGATATCAGATGCAGTTGGACTCGCACAGGGAATGGCAACCGATCCCCAGAGGGCCACATTGGATCGCTGTGAAATTGTGTCGTTTCACCCACGAGAGGTGGTGGCGTGAGGCGGGGGGCTCCATTCCAAGCATCGAGAGTCGTCGGGTGCAGTTACCAGGAGCAGGGGCGGCCTCGGGGTGGCTTCTCCCTTAGTTTCATGCAGGGCTGTCTCCAGCAAGTGGCAGTTCTCCCCACATCGCTGCCTGGCCTGGTCCCAGAGGTATCTCCATGTAGGATCTCAGAAGATGGAGCTGGTCTCGGGTGGCCCAGGGCGAGCTCAGCTGGGCAGCGGGCCGGGCGCTGGCAGCCTGGGCACAGGTCTTGCGACACGGTCACCTCCCTGTTTGTGCTTCCCGGACCAAGTACCCCTTAGTGACCTAGCCAAAGGGCTGCATGCTGCACGGGCTGCTTCTCGGTCTGCCTCCCACCCATACGCAGAATGATTTTTCCTTGGGGTCTGTAGAATTCATTGCTGTTCTTACTCACGCCTTTTGGGGGGCACCTTTGCAGCGCACTGTGGGCGCTTGTGCACCAGCTCTGGTCACGGGGCAAGCAGGGGAGAATGGCAAGACCGGCTCTGAACACAGCAGCGCTGGCGCCCAAGCACGTGGCGTCTTTTGTCGCTGCGGAGCTAATGGGACTGCTGGAGGAGGAGCATGTTCTGGACCTGCCCCTGCCTCCTCCTCGTCTTTAAATGGAGAGCCTTTGAGTTCTGAGGCAACGGAGGAGCCCAAGTTCAGCACAGTACAGAGCAGTGCCGTACTGCGGGTTTACAAGGCTGCAACAGCCAAAGGGATGGCAAAGAAATTCCGCTTTATTGGGTCACCACTCCTGGGCCAGCACGGTGTGTCCCTGATGGCTCGAGGCTGCCGCTGGGCCCGCAGGGAACGCGCTGTCCTCAGGAGCGGGTCTGCTGTGCAGGGACGGCCCCGCGCACGTCGCCGCCGGCGCCCTGGCGCTGCTCGGGAGGCCGGGGCCTTTGCACCATCCCCACGTGCGGCCCTCAGAATAGCAAACCAGGCAGTACAGTTGCCTTGCTCCTGCTTTTCTTCGTTGCTCATTGACTCTGAGGTTCCTTGTGACAGAAGCCATGGCAGCTATTCAGCTTCCCAACCTTTTTCTCGGTGTCATCTCTTCTATTCAACACTTGGTTTTCTCATGGATGCTTTTTTGCCTGTTGTTGCTGGTTTGGCCCTTGGTGTGAGAGACAGAGGCCTACTTCTCCCAGAACTGGAGCCCCCCCACTCCTCCCCTCATGTTAAGGTTTCCTGTGTCAGTAATTTCCTTTTCTTTCCTGTTTTGCTGAAGGATATTGGCATTGTTTCCCCAGCGAAACCAACAGGCTTCAGATTCTGCTCTCTCGCGAGGGGCTTTTGTTGGGCCCTGCTCCCTCCCTGCTCTCCCGCCTCCAAACCCAGGACGCTGGCTGGGTCCTAGTCTTGCTCTGCTGGCAGAGGTGCTCCTCATGGCAGTGGCTCTGGGCTCCTCTGTGCTTTCAAAGAACTCAGTTGCCTGGGCAGCCGGACTCTGGGAGGGTGCGCCGGCCCCAGGGATCGCTGCTCTCTGGCCACCCAGCACCTCCCCGCCGGGAAAGGCACCCACCTGGGTGCTTGGGGAATGATTTGCTCCAATAATGGTGTCCCGTGAAGGAGAGATGGGACCTGCTGACGACACCTTGGATAGGCACAGCCATAGGCCAGGTGGTAACTGGCACGAATGCTGTGTGTTCAGCTGGAGTGAGTTGGAAGTTTTGCTAAAACTGGTCCTTCAGGTCAGAGCGCGTCCCGTGGGGTTTCTGCACGAGCTCTGCAGCATTAGGGACTTGCACCCTTTGGATGCTCGTGAGCCCCTGCCGTGTTCTCCAGCACGTTGGACTCTGCCAGGGCTGCTCGGCTTGTGTGGGCCCAATTCACAGAGCAATTGGGATCACTGACTCTGGTCTCACAATTGGGATTACTGGCTCTGGTCTCCCTGTCACAGCCATTATTCTCTGCCCTGTTCCCCCTTGGGTCACCCATAAATTTCAGCAGCAACGATATTAAATTTAATTCCAAAGCATTAATAAAACTGCCCCAAATCAATCACGTCAGGAGCTCTATGGAAGCACCACTATTCAGCACAGCTGATTGGTATCGTGCCGGGCTGTGACGTGGGGCAGAGCCACGTGCCTTCAGAGGGGCTCGCCTGTTCTTACCAAACTCGTCATCTCCTCAGGAAGCTGCATCCTCAGCCTTCACCGCTAGGTATGGTAGGCTTTAATGCCAGATCCCTTGGTTGCTGCCTTGGTATTAGGTTGCTTTGTCTCGGATGGCAAGAGCAGCTTGCTGTGCCATCATCTGCGCCTTGGTTTATGTGCAAAGCCAGGCTTTTACTGGCTGCTTTGCCCGTTCTGCCCCTCGGTGAGGATAATATGGGGCCCGTCAAGCGCTGGGTCAGTGATTGCTTTGCTTTGCTCTTCCTCCCCTGCGCTCAGCAAGGGAAGGATTCCCCCCTTGCAGCTTTCCCCCTGTCATCAGTGTGCTGCTACGTTTCCCACTTTTGAGGTTTGATTGATTGCCATCGATCCCCCCTGTTCCTGATTGCTGGATATTTTGTGCTTTGCTTCTGCCTTTCCCTTGGCCGCAGAATGGGCTGTGAGGCACGTTGCCGTCCAGTGTGATTGATGGGCCTTTTGGACATCCAATAACATTACCATAAAGAAATTCCAATTTTCAACCATATTTTCTCTGTCTTAATTCATCTTCTGCACTTAGAAAAGCCGGGTGTGACTTGGGGAGCATGGGAGGCAGTGCGTGTGAGGAGGAAGAGAAGGAGTAGGGAGGCAGGTCATGGATAATTCTTTCTGTTAGGGGGCCATTAATTGTACATTTCACTCTGTAATGAGAATGAGAGGATGAAATAATGAGATACGTGGCAGTGGGATGTGAAATAGCAGCGTTTTGGGATAGCAGCCACGCGCCGGTGTGGGAGGCTGTGCAGTGACCACTGCAGGGGGTTGTCCCCCGCGCTCAGGTGTCCCTGCCAGCCCCACGCTCACCTGCACAATGTCCGTGCTTTGGGTTGCAGCGTCTCGACTCGTCTGCTAACCTCACAACCCGTGTTAGAAGCCATTCCGGGAGGTAGTTTTCTAACAATTTATTTGCATTTTATTCTCCCTCTCCATGATATTCCAAGCAATGGCTTCCAAACAGTTCTTTCCCTTTCACTATTTCTTGATTTAATGGTCTAATAGCTCTTGTTAGTAAATCTCATTTCAAGAAAAAAGAATAGCAAAATGTATTTTTGTCTATTACTTTTGCTTGTAATTTTTTTCAAACACCTTCAGCTGTTCCCTATGTTCATGTGACTAAATAACGGCACTTTATAAAGTCTCTTTTCTATGTAGCCTGAGCTGTTGTTACATGTCTCATTCTTCTCATTTCTTTATAGACTGAACCAGCAATTATTTTATTTTTGCATTGCATATGGAAAATTATTAATAGTTGGTCCTAAAAGCAGGTGCCCGTACTGGGTGGAGGGATGGTGCATTTGGAAAAGGAGCTCCGTTGTGATTTGAAACATAATGTTCATCTGTCATATTTAAAATCTCTATCTTTTGCCATGATATCTCTTTTCCTAGCAGACTGAATTTGCTGATATTATCTTGAGAATTCCAGGCTTCCAGTTTCCTTCCTTCTGTTAAAGGCTTTCGAGTAATTGCTTACTTATTTACATTATTTCCCCCAATTAATTTCATAGCATTCTGTTTCCAAAACGAAAGCACCTCCTTTTTGCCTTAATTTGTCTCTAAATTCCCCCAACCCTTACTTTCCTCTCCTCATCACTTCCTGACCACCACACTTGCTCTGTCATCTTTGAGTCTCTGTCCATAACTTAATGGCCCCCCCAAATATCATAAACATTCTGCTCCAAGCTCCTTTTGATCATCCCTGTCTGTTAAATGGGGTCAAGTGAATACCTGAGGGTACGAGTTACGTTGCTTTGAAGGGTTAAGAGAGAGGCTGCAGTGGCAGGTTAACCAATGGAGGGGTGCACAAGGGAAACGATGGCTCAAAATTAGAAATACCAGAACCAGACAGTGCTCCCTCTGCCCGCGGGGGTTAATCTTGGCACAGAATGTGATGTTGGGACTGCTGGAGTAGTGATCCTAGATGTGATGGGAACTGTGCAAAATTCTGTGTTCTTGTTTCACGATTCAGTCCATTTATGACTGTTGCTGTTGTTTATGATGATTAAGGATGTTTTCATTACTAGCAAAAAAAAATTATTACTTTTGTCTAAGTTTTAGTTATTTTCTGTATATGATAGACACACATACCACCTCGCATACTCATTTTCAATAAATTACATTAAGCAAAAAGTACCTTTAATTAGGTTCTAGTGACTAAAAAGTGAGAGCTTGAAAATGAGAATTCATATTTTCTCCTCTTTTTTCCCCCATTCAGGGAGTGCTTGAAGAGGAGCCCGAGGAGCCCAAAGGCAGAGGGCTCTGACTCGGTGACATCTCAGTCCTCACCCAGTGAAGAAGCTGGAATGATGACTGAGGTGAAAGTGAAAACAGAGGTACCAGATGACTATATTGAAGAGGTGATCTGGCAGGACGACACCAAAGATTCCAAGAAGAACATAAAAGATGGGCCGGGAGATGTGCCTGCAGAGATCTGTGTGGTCATAGGTGGGGTCCGCAACCAGCAGACACTGGGTAAGCCGTGTGCTCACGTGCCCCATCCGCTGCTTCCCCGTGGCCGTGGCGTGGGCAGCCTCCGGGAAGCGCGTTCCTGAAAGCTCCTGCATCCTGCTGGAGGGACCTGAGCTCCGTGTCACATGAATCCCTGGATCCTGGCTTGGGGTTACTGCCTCTTTGACTCTTGTTGTCTATTCACACCTGATCTGAAGACTCAACCAAACTTAGGGAAACTGGGGGGCAAAGACACTTAGCTGCTTGTAACCTATTAAAACACTTGTCCACCTGTCAGATACAAAATCTGGAAGGTTTTTGTAGGAAGGTTTGAGAAAAAGTTGAAATATTTTGAGGGAAGTGGATGCTTTCTGTGAATAATTACACTTTGCTTCAAGACTTTTTTTTACAAGTTGCTGCTTGTTTATTAGTTTTTCTCATTACCAGTAACTATAGGAAAAGAGAGTTTTAACTGGTTGTGAGACCATCCGCTTTCCAAAAAAGTCTTTTCTGTCCCTACCCTGCCTGCAGCGGCCATGAGAAGCAGCAGGGTTTCTCTCTCTGGACAAGGAGGCCGTCTCGCACTCCTGCTGCATGTGCCAGGGAAGGCTCTTTCCACAGGATCCTGGAAGAGGCACCGTTCTTGTTGACAGTGACTCCTCCATTGGCTCCGAGATGGAGCAGGTCCCAACAGCAGCTGGAGAACCAAAGGCAGGTGGCGATAAAAAGGTCACTGTTGGATCATGCTTCCTTTAAGGGACTAGGAAGGGAACTAACTTCATCTGCACAGTATTGCCACGGGGTTTCTCTTGGCTTGAGCGGGGAAAGATGGGGAAACCGTTCAGATTGACGTTTGGTTGTTCTCCTAGTTTTATAATGGTCATGATCCACAGTGTTGGAAAGAAACCCTGGAGCGGGTCATTAGGTGAGAGACTGTTCTGGGAGCATCATCGTCCTCCCTGTCCTCCCTTCCCCAGCTAGGACAGCCGCTCAGAAGGACAGTTCTCTTTTCAGGTTGGGAAATAGCTGTTGTTTATGCTGGGTGAAAATGTTTAGGGAAAACTCAAAAATCCATAACTTGTTGCAATTTAATATAGTTTGGGAGGAGATAACTTGTGAGTATTTCCAGAGCCGGTTGAAGCCAGTGTTTGCCACGTTGCAGCCCTTTCTCCATGTGGCTGCTGGTTGTGCAGCAGCAGCTAGTCCACAAAGGACGTCCCTACAGAATGGTAGCTTCTAGATGAGGTTGACTGTATTGTTGCCCGAAGTGGGAAGCAGGCCACAGGCAGCCTTTCTGCGGGGGGTTCTGTGGAAGTGCCCCCTAATGTCCCTACCTGCACAAGGCTCTGGCACTGGCAGCGGTCTGGGGGTGGCCATGCAGCCCGTGGAGGAGGAGAGAAGGGCCAGGAGTTATTTCTGAGTTCACAGTGTTTGTTGGAAGGAGGAAGAGTAAAGTGGGCAACTTCTAGCCCAAAGTGCCTCTTCAAATGAAACGGGTGTCGTGTTTGTTATTTTATGGCCCAACCCTGAGTCTCTCTGAAGGCAACTGGATCCTGGGGGAATTGGCAGTTAGCAGCTGATGCCTTTGTGAAGGGGCCGTTAAGTGTCTCTGTTCATCCAGCCCTGTCATTCTTTTTAGTTGGGGAGGTGGCTGTAAATAACTTTGCTGTTTAGCCACCAAATATGTTCTCTGTGGCCAGACCATAGTGCCCAGATATCAGCACTTTGTGGTTTCTTCAGCTGGCTCCCAGGCAGCGCTTCTGGTCCCCTCTCCCCACAGAAACCACAGGGAGGCCGTATTTCCATAGTTGCCGACATTGTGCAGCTCCCAATAGCAGTGTCCCATGCCGGCCACTTCCCGAGCCATTTCTGCTGCTGCTCCTAAGCAGCCCAAGGTTGCCAGCAGCTAAAGAGTTCCCACCTCCGGAGTGAAGATCTTATGTCACTGGTGTATCTGGGTGTTCTTCCTGAAGCCTTTACAAGGCAGCGGTCCTGTAGCTGTGAGTCTGAAGCGCTTCAGCAGTGAGGAAGGGCAAGGCTTCGGCAGGATTTCATTGCCCTTCGCCAGCGAGGTTGAGATTAGAGGTGTTGAAACGGTTGTTTGACGTGGTGCCCCGCGGTGCGGGCTGCCGTCATGGCCGTGAGGGGGACGCCTCCGTCTCCCTGGGGGTTCGTGCCCAGACGCCATCCTCAGGCATGGGCTGGGGGGCAGCAGCTGCACAGGGGGGCTGGCGGGGCCGGATCCGGGGCCCTGGAGCACTCGTGGATCCCAGGAGAGGCCGCCTGCCCCAGGCACCGCGCCTGGCCCTGCCTGAAGGCCTTTGCGCCGCGTTTCGGAGGCACGATCTGTGCTGATAGTTTTAGCTGTTGCTTTAAGCAAAGTAAGAGATTCCCAGCTTGGTTGCTGTTACTCACATTAACATTTTCATCAAATGAGGCCGGGAATCTGCTGCCTCCTGTTTGGTTATAGGCGCCACTGTCTCCCTGAACTTTGGACTACTGCAGACTCTTGTTTCCAGCCTTTTGAAACAACTCAAATCCCCGAGGGATCAAAGTGGCTGCAGCAAAGTGGCAGCTGGAATTGGTGGAGCCAGTGCCCACGTGCTTGTGGTTTTGAACCATTCCCTTCTCGTCTGCTTTTCCACAGAAGTCTTGCCCGCCCCATGGGGTCTCTCTTGAGCATCTCAAGCAAAGGAAAGGAGGCCAACGAGGTGCTTGGCTGTGGCTTCGGGACTGCTCGGCAGCTGCCTGGAGGCTGACCCTGCAGCTCCTGCATCCCTGGCAATGCAGGGCTCCCTGCCTGTGTTTGCATTCATGTACCTTGGAGCAGGGACATTTGAGTAGTTCCAACACACTGCGACGTGCCAGGGCAAAACAGCGGTGAATTCCACCCTGAAGCTATCTAGAAAGGAAAGGAAAAGCAAAAGGGGATTTTGTCGTGGGTGAGAGAACAGGGGACTTGCCTAATGTGAATCCTCTTGTAACACTGGGAATACCTTCGTGTCAGCATTTGTATTTTGGAGGTCAGGGATAGCTGAGAGTTGAATGGGAGGAATTTTATACATAACTATTTAAACTCTCAATCCTGCCTATGATTTACCGGGGGAAGTGTTTTTGAGAGGATTTTTCAAGTAATGCAGTAAATCAGTAACATCACTAAGAAAAAGTGCAGAGTGAATCCTACTGCTTTGAGACCATCCATCGAGCTGTTACATCCTTGATCCGTGCCATGGGGCTGATGTCTCAGTTACTGAGCTGCTTTGGCACGCTTAATTCACAAGTGCTTTGGATTCTCCCTGGTTAGACTAAATAAAATAGCGCTGCGAAGCCCTGAGACACTTGGTGTGGCCTCCGACATCTTGTTACCAAGCCACAGGTGCACGTCGGTCTTGGATATTTTGAATAGGCTTCAGCCGTTGTCGTCCTCTGGAACTGCTTCTGCTTTAAGGGCTCTTTTCTGATTATTTTCTTGCACAAATCAAATGGAAGAGCAGTGGAGCATGGCTCTCCACTTGGATATACACACAGTTGACATTCAGGGAGCTGCTTTTTTGACCATGCGTTGAGATGCACCCCAGCTCCATGATGGAAGGTTGTGAATCACAGAATCAGAGAATATTCAAGGTTGGAAGGGGAAAGTCTAGCCAGGGTCGAGAGAGCAAGGGCGAGCAGGGGCGCAACGGGAGTGTTGCACAAGCCCCATCTGCAGGGCTCAGCGAAAGCCTGGCCAAACTCAACGCACCAACCACCCAAACCCTTCCCTCTCACCACCTGCGTGACACGTCCTGAGGTGCACCAGGCCGAGGTAAAGCCTGGCTACCGCGCAGACTCCAAAGCAACACAGGCACGTTCATTCTATGGCCTTAATTCGGGGGATGTCTTTTCTTCATTTTCCTTCTGTTTACTGTCAAGTTTTTCAGGCAAGACGTCCCTCCTTTCTCTAATACTGGGATCTGCCTCTCGACCCCTCCATCCCACGGTGTGCTGAGTGACTCTAGCGCTGTAATGCACTGACAGCGTGGCAAACTGGCCTGTCCTCGTGCTTAGTGCTCGGCCGTCGGTGGGTAGGACGGCGGTAGAGGTGCCCGTCTCAAAGGATGTGTCCCAGGTAGACCCGAGACCCGGGTGCCCAGGGACACGCGCACAACGTGCTGCCCGTGGGACAGGATGCTCCTCAGCCCACCCTCGATTCCTGCTCCCTCTTTCCAAGCAGAACCACTTGCCCTGGCGCCCGCGGGGGCTCACGGTCGAGCGGGGCAGTACGGAGCGGCCGCTCCTACAGCTTACGTTGCTCACCAAAAGCTGCACAGCTAACTCGCATGTCACAGTCCGTCTCCCAAGGAGTGTGAGAAAGAAGCATGGAAACCAAAGTGAGACTAGAGCTCCTCGTTGTTTATCTTTTGGCCGAGGTCTCGGTGGTCTCTGTGCGTGCAGAGCTCTTGGGGGACGTGGCAGTTGGTTTTGCTGTTGGTACAGCCGAGCACAAGCTCAGGTTGGGAGGGCCCAAGTGCTTGGAGTATAATCAGTCCTTGAACGTGGAAAATGAGGTCCAGCAGATACTGCTGACCTGCTGATGTCCAGAATTTTGCTTAGAAAAACCTGTATGGAATGACCGTGGACAGTGATTGTCACACATAGATATATTTATGCACATAAAACACAACTAGCTGTGATAATGAAAAGTCAGTGGAGCAAATCAAGACATGGTCAAGCAACTATAAAAGCAGTGTTTTGGAGTATTTTTTGGATATGTGCTGTTGTGTTTAGTGAATTCTACCGTAGTTCATTTTAGCATCAGTGACCAAATTAGTTGCTTAGCTCAGCAGATAATCCCAAGTGATGTTAATGATGGATGGGGAATTCAGCACTACTCTGAGCCAGAGGAAGGTGACTCTCTTGCCAAGCTTTGAGCAATATAACATGGGAAATGGAATGAAAATAAGGAGTCTGTTCCTAAAGCATGGTTGGTTTTGCTTCTGGAGAGACCTCACTCTTGAGTGGCCTGGGTAAGTATTGCTGTAAAAGGATGTTTGGGATTCATTTGGATGTGTGTGTGGATGCTCTCGTTTGGGCTGTGACTTGTCCCCAAGTTTTACTGTTTTGCATGAACAGTAAAAGATTGTTGCAAAGTTGCATACAAAAGTGTTCATGGAAATCAAATGCTACGTTCACAGAAAATAATATTCAGCCCTTCCTTCTCTCACTTTCTCCTCCTGCTCTTACCCTACCAGGAAGCTTTCTTAGGACCACAGCTGCTTCCTCCTGCTGATAGACAGCAGCTAAATGCAGTACATTTTGCATGGATGCAAAACATCGCAAAGGTGTATAAATCGGATGGCAAATTTATAGCCAGGTCACGAGTTTGGAGCAGGGAGGAGAGAAAAAAAACAGAATTCAGAGTAAACTTAGATAACAAATCTGAAGAAATTTCTGCCTGCGCAGTGAGCAGGCTAAACTCATTGCATAATTTCATTGTTGCAAACTCTTCTCCCAGCCTCATTTCTCTGGTTTCATTATAAATGACTGTTTGCAGATGCGTGTTTTCTGGAATTAGATACACAAGTCAAGAGGAGAGACGACTGCGGTCATGTGATTTTACTTACGAAGGTCAAAAGTTCTAGTTGTATCTGCTTGGTTTCCTCTGTGTGGAGATTTACCAAATCTCTGTGGGTTTCTTGAGAAATTTGTACATTGTGCATTTCTTGAGAAATTTTGAAAACTGCTTGCATGAAGATAATGTATTGCCTTCTTTTTTATTTTCAGCTGAAAAGCTTTCCATATCCTAGAAACTTACTGAAAAGTGATTCAAGGTTATTTCTGTTCATAGGAAATATTAGTCATTATTATAAAATTATGAGTCTGGCTATTTTGAGAGTGAGCCTTTCATGTTAAGAAAGTTATAAAGATATACTGTAAATGTAAGCTCAGGGTAATATGCCAAGGAATCTTAAATTAGGCTGAAAAAAGAATTGAGTCTGGGATAGTGATTTCCTGCATTTATCTCCACCAACCTTCCAAAAATTACTTCTCTGCAAACTGCATTCTTTTGTCCCCAGTTTACGGATAAGTATGTGGTGAGGCTGTTTTTCCCTGATCTAATATGGTGATGTGTGCTTTTCTGTCTTGTTTTTCAGGGTCTTATGAGTGTGGAATATGTGGGAAGAAATACAAGTATTACAACTGTTTCCAGACCCATGTGCGAGCGCATAGAGGTATCTCTCTCCTGCTCAAACTTTGGGAATCCCGGGGTAACGCTGAGGCTCAGGAAATATTTGGGGGGCTCGCTCTGCTGCTGCCCTAGCTGCCGGTGGCCCATCCCTAGGACACGGGGGTGCGCGGAGGGGATGCGACGCGCTGAAGCAAACGGTCCAAGCAAAACACGGGGCTGGGCTGCGAGTTCCCGTGTAGCCAGCGGGCTGCTCTTCTTCCTAGAGAGGCATTGAAGGGCCCAGGGTTGTCACTAAATACTCACGGAGACCTGTAACATTGCTAAGGGTTGCTAAGTTGCTCCCTATGCTTCCTTTTGGCAGTGGGCTGCTGCTGTGCTTTCGTGTTTAAAATTAAGATGATCCTTCTAAATCCACCTTCGTAGCCATTCTTTCAGCTGAGGTCACTTTCCGAATGTATTGTTGGGGCGAAATTTCTCATGCTTCGTCAGAAGCAACTTCCATTTGCATTTTCTGTGATACTATCCAATTTTAAGTCAGTTAATTACAAAAAGTTTTTTTTTTTCCGTGGCTGTTTCCTACAAATAGTGTGATTTGAAGAAATAAGAATCTGAAGTAACAGAGTAATAGGGACTTGAAACTAGTTCATGAGCCTTGCAGTGTTTTTATTTTCTTTCACCCTAGTTTGAAGTATGTGTGTCAGATTCGTAGAAGCTTAAACTCCTCATTTGCAAATAGCATTATCAGCACGCACGTTCTTTAATGTAACGATTGATTGGGATGTCTAAAAGAGCCTAAGGGAATCTCCACGTGAGCGCTTTGAAAACCCAGGAGTAAGACGTGGTGAATGCTAATGCCATAATAAGCCTAAACACTGGAACTCTCAGAAGTCAGCAAACGCGCAGCTGAAAAGTGAATTGTGTTCTTAAATTCTCGGTTTGGGGTCAGTCTCGTGGTACATCCTTTAAGGACGGGATTGCGGATTTATCAGGCGCTGTTTAGCAGTGTCGACCTTCTGCTGTGCCCTTACATGCACGCGGAATTGTTTTTTGATGTCTTGTTTTCCTTTCTAAATACCAGTAAAATTCCTAGAAGTCCTTTGAATAAGGGCACTCTTAGCTGCACTCGGCATTTGAAGCAAAAATTTATAAAATAGTAAGCAGCATTGTTTGCTGTCTCACAGAGGCTTCAGTATTGCATCACAGCAATGCAAGAATTTTGCAGAAATTACTGAAATATTTAGATTTGGGACAAAGATTGCTTTTAAATTACCTCTCCCTTTCAAGCCATATGGGATCCCCATTTCAGTTGGAATTTGTAGGAGCTATACTAATACAACTAATCAATTGGTCATCTGCTTGTGCATAATCCAGTTTATTTTTACTTAAAAATTAATTTATTTTTTGATCTTGAAGTCAAACTATGTATAAAACAGTCTAGATGATTTCCTGATCCTTTGACATACATTTAGAATTGATACCATAGTTTTCTTATGAACTCATTGGAGACCTTTTACACCAGAGCCTTTTGAATGTGCAGCTACAGAAGAAGGAAATTTTTTAAATTTTGAATGTGGACGTTTTTGTTAACAGCTTTCAATATAGTTGTGGAGAAGCACAGTTTATATATGTGAAACTAAAAAAATTGCTTTTTACATTGCTATAAATTGATGCGTGTAGTAGTAACATTTAAAGTACCTTCAAATTGCTTTAAGTGAATGAAAATTAAAAGGATATATATATTCATATACACCAGTCAACAAGAAACCAAACTGGAAACTTGCTGCAGCACCATAAATGTGATGCTCCCAGAAGCAGAGTGAGATACCAGGGATCAGAAGTGTACTACCTGCCTGCTGTCCAATGTGTATGTAATAGTTTTAAGACTTGTATAAAGGAAAACTGTTTATTTTATTATCTAATGAGAATTATATATTGGCCTGTATCAATGACTGCAATCAGCATTTAATTTGTCTTCTAATGTTTTCGTGGCAGCCTGTATCTGAGGGTTTGTGTAGCCGAAGCTCCTGCCGTCGGAGCACCGCGCCGCGCGTCAGAGCAGCTCTGGTCGCGGGTGCCCAAGGGAGGCGGCTCCGGGGGGATGTTTTGTCCCCGGCATCCCGGGGGGATGTTTTGTCCCCAGAGCCCGTCCCGCGGGTGGCAGCTCTGCGGGGCATGCGGGGCCGTGAAGGCCCCGTCCCGTGGCGAGCCCCTGAAGGCCCCGTCCCGTCGCGAGCCCGCCAGCACCTGGCACCCTCGGCCCTCGCCCACGTCCCTGGGGCTGCCCGCGAGGGAGCCCTGGCAGCCACGCGGCACGGGCTGGTTTCTCACTTTGCCTGCTGCTCTTTTTGAACATCAGATGCTCGTCCCCAACATCTGGCCCACCAATTGGTTGAGTTATGTCAGTGTCTCCCTGAGTTTTGTCATGGTTCTGCGTTAAACTCACAGCTGAGCATCAGAGTAGCTGCAGCAAACCAAGCACTCTTGCCCTTCCGCAGGTTCTGTCTTCCAGTGCTTTCTAGGTGCTGTCTCAGATCAAAACACTTACTTTTTTTTGCTACTTGCTGAAAGATGCCTGTTCTTCCCCTTCCTCTGGAGCAGCCCTTGGTGATTTGCTCTGCTCTGAGGTTTCTTTGTCGCTAGGGGGACTCAAATCCTAGGTTGTCCTAGGATGGATGGTGGTGTGGACCACATGGATGGATGCTGGACCACAACTGAGGTCCTGAAGCTTTGGCCTTTGGGAGAGGAGATAGGTCTAAACTGGACGATTGGAATTACTTAGGAAATGATTAGGATGATCGGAGTTACTTGGGAAGCAGGAAAGCTAAACCCCTACTTGTCATTATTCAGCAATGCCTGTTCTGCCGTGAAGCTGGGAGGTGGCAGAGGTCCCCAGTTCTTCTCACTTAGAATTGAATTATTTCTGATCCTTTTTTTTTTTTTCTGTTTTCATGGCTCTGTTACGGGTTTGGAGCTGCAGAGCTCCCTTGGCGCAGCCTCCTCAGGGCTCGTGCCCGGGAGTTTTCTCACCCGCTCCCTTCTCGTAGTTCATCCTTGTCAGTCGCTTGGTTTTCCCTCTGCAAAACTTTGCAAAATTTGCGTTTCTTTTAATCCTCTGAACTATGTAGTTACAGATTAAGAATCTTCTACTCACGATCACATTAGAGAATAAAAATTGCAGTTATCTTTATAATGATTATTTTCAAGAGAAATTTCCTTTTTTTTTTTTTTTTTTTAATTTGTACCTGCCTCCTCTCTAAATCTCCATGATGGAGAAGCTCAGCTGGAGGGGGCTTCTTTCCTTTTAGGCTGGGATTTTTCTTGTCTGTGCTCTGCAGTGGGTGCTGTGCTGTTGGAAGACGGGGCATGGCTGTGGTTCATAGTGTCTTCGCAGTGGTGCTCAGCGTCAGCCAGAAGATTTTAAGGAGCCATCTCGTAGTTGGCGCTTGCGAAGGGTTGAGGCAGCTCTTGATGGAGAACTGAAAATTGAATAACGAAAGCAGAAATTAAGGTGTGGAAACCCCGCGTAAATCTTTATTCCAAGATTCAGAAACGTAGGTAAGGAATTGGATCGAGGGAAGAAAGAGAAGGTTGTGGTCTTTCCCTTGGATTCCTCAAAAGGCACAAAATAAAATAAAAAAATAGAATTGCAACAGGGCTGCAAGATGCCTTTGCGAGGACTTCCGAAGACCTGCCAGGCCGAGGCTCCCTCCGCTCCTGCAGCGCTGCTCGTTCAGCGGGAGCGGAGGAGGCTGCAGCCTCGCGGTGACTGCGGAAGACCCCGCCGAGCTGCCGGCCTTAGCAGATGTTCCTGCAGTGCCTGCTCGGAGCCCAGCCCTTACCGGCGTGTTCCTTGCGGCGCTTCTTGCAGCTGCGTGGGCCTCTTTCTTCTCCAAGCCATTAGAAAGGGTTGCCTTCCCTTCAGGAATTAGTCATCGAGAAATTTTTATTTTGTATCGTTCTTATTTGAGGAACATCAGCAGCAAAACATCCGTGTATTTTAAGTCCGGGAAATTATTTCACTTTTAGATAGCTCAAAAATGGCTGGAATTAGTTTATTAGCCTTTCAAGGAGTAAATTTTAAAACTGCTGGGCTGAGGCCAAGGAAGGAAAATTTTTACCCAAAGGAGAATTCTTCAGAACGCAAATGAAAGAAAATAGCAAGACCGAAGTTTAACCCTCGCAGGATGTATCACTTTTGGTATAATAATTGCTGGAAGTTCTGTTTTCAGATAAGCTTTTCTGGGCTGAATGATGGTTTTGCCCAAGTTGTTTTTCTTTATTATTTATTTACATTATTTAGTTACTTTGTTGCCTCCCTGTTAACAGGGCAGCTCTCAGTTAAGTTTCAGGGATGCAACAGCTCAGGGTCAAATTTAACATCATTAGAATAGTGCTAAATGTGTTCTGCAGCCAAAGTTTCTATTTTAACCAGTTGTTTGATGATCTAAAAACTTCTGCAAGGTTTTCAAGTTTTGGATTGGTATTTTCCAAGAAGAGCTTTTGCCTAATTTCCAAACTATGAAGAGAAATAGTTCAAACTCACTGAATACGGAAAAATACATTTTTCCTTGTGCATATTTTTGGAGTCTGAGAGCAGTTCTAGCACTAAAATGATTTTGAGGTAAGAAGCTGAAATTTGATAGAGAAAGAACCATTCTTGAGCTGAGCTGGTGCTTTTGCACTCAAGTTAGGTTTGATTGGTATGATTGTCTGCTACTGAATAAATCATTTTGGAAGGAGGAGAGGGGGTTTCATTTGCCTTTCTGTGCTGCATCACAGGCATCTGGCCTGTTTTACTGTATCGATTCCCAACTCAACAGCAGCAGGAGATCTAGAAGCAGAGTTAATCAACATTCAGGAGTTAACTTCTTTAGTGATGGTGGTGTTTTTTTCCTGACTTTCTAACCTTTCTAAACACATACAGCTCAAAAATAGCTGTTCCTTAAATCTTTGCATGTTGCTTAATGCCTTTTAAGATGGACTAAAGTACTCCTTTTTAAAGCAGTTTATATGATGAAAGTGGCCTGGTGCATACACAGTGCAAGTCTTTTATAGTTTATTTACACTGTTGTCTGTGAACACCCTGACACTACGTTGCAGAAATCCCTTGTGCCAAAACAAGCTTTTTCCTGGAGTGGTAGGTGGTAATTCAGACAGATAGCAGCTGTGGAAAAATGAAGGGTTTGGGATAGCATAGGTTTTGCATTCTATGTTGAAGGTTTCTAATCTGGCTCTTCAGTTTATTGTTGCACCAAATTAGTTGCAAGAAGTTGCACCAAATTAGTTGCATACTTCACGCAGGTTAATAAAGTAGAAATGCACAAGTTTACAAACTCACAAAAGCCAAACTGTTAGTTTTTATTATATTTAAGAGACAGCAAGGAAATTAAATGCAAGTGGTGTTAATTACTTAAGGTTGCAAATTTTAAAATAAAAAACGCTGTGAAATTCCACAGCTGTGAGTTTCATGGTAATGCTGATGTGACTTTGAGGCACAAAGGGAATATTCTGTAGTTGGGTTATTGGATTATCTGACGTACTCTGTATGTAGTTTAGGAAGAATACAAAGCACTTCCCATGGCCGGGAGCTCGGAGTCATCCACCCTGCTTGGCCGTTAAGCGGGGCTTTGCTTTGGGACGGCAGCCCGGCCCGTTGCGCCCCCGGTTGCTCGTGGCCGTGTGCCCGCTACCGCCCCGTGCCGTGCGGCCCTGCCTGAGGCTCCTCTCCCGCCTTCTCCGCGTGTCCTCGCAGGGACGGGGCGCGCGGGCCTCGCAGCGGCCTCAGCGGGCGCCTCGTGGGGAGGCTCCGCGCGGACGGCCCCAGCCTGGGCTCGCTCCTCCTCCCGTGGCAGCTCATCCGGCGCTCGGGCACCGTAGCGATTTGAGCTAGGAGCCGGTGACCGCGTTGGCAAGCGCTGGTAACCGCTGCCTGGACCCGGCGCGCGCCGCGCTGGGCGGCGGAGGCCGTGGGGTGGCCGCGGATTCTGCTGGCGGACGGCGTGAGGGAGCCCGCGGCCCGCCGGGATGTGCTGCCGTGTCAGGCTGCCTCCATAGCCACCCTGTCCCAAACAGGCTCGGAAAGTAGGAAAATCTCCCGCTTCTGGAAGTGTGTGAGCGAGTCTTTCCTTAGGAAAGGGCAGCCTGTGCCCGTGAGCACAGGCAGGGGCATCGCGCTGGAGGAGGAGGAGGAAGGCGGCTGGCGGAGACGCCTCGGTCGGCCGCCACATCTAAGCGCAGCTCTTTCTCTTTGCAGACACTGAAGCTGCCTCAGGGGAAGGAGCCTCACAAGGCAGTAAGTACGAACGTGCCGTGCGCAGGGCGGGAGCGCGGCCGCGGCGAGCGAGGCGAGCGGGCGGCCCGGGCCCGCCGCCCTTCCCCGTCCGGGCCGGCAGGGGGCGGCGGCGCCGCGGGGATGGCGGCGCTCGCGGCCGGCCGGGCCGCTCCGCTCCGCAGCGGCCGCCAGCCCGGGGCCGCCGCGGGGCGCCCGGCCTCGCTGCCGGCGGCCGCCCCTGTCACTCGCTCGGGAGCCCTTGTTGTGCCGGGTGCTGCCACCCCCTGGCGTCACCAGGACCTAGGATTTGGGAATGTGTGGGGACCCCCCTCGCCCACCCGGGGAAGCTGGGGCGAGTTGTGCCGAGGGCGGCCCGGGCTGGAGCAGGGAGCGTGGAGGAGGCAGCGGGGCCTGCGGAGCAGCGGCCGCTCTGGCTCCGCGGCACCGCTGCTCGCGGTTGGAGGCAGCTGCCGTCATAGCCAGCACGGAAAGCAGAGGCACTTCCACCAGGGGAAACCATTGCCGCCTCTGCCCTGTCGAGGGAGCCCAGCGGGGCTGAGGAAGATGGAGCAGAGCAGGGGCTGGGAGGGAAGAGGTGAGGGCTGGCGGCCGTGCTGCGAGGGCAGAGCCTGTGCTGGGGGCGCTGTCGAGGGACTGACGTGGAGCAAACGCACTCTCCTGTTAGTGAGCTGAGGGAACAGAAACCCCGAGCAGAGAAACCCCGCGGAGCAGAGAGCAGCTGCACGCAGCAGCTCTGAACACCAGGCTGCCGAGGGGGCACTCGGTAACGGAGGGAGCGGCAAGGGAGGCTGCGTTTTGGTTCATGTGGGACTGCTGGAATCTGGTTCCCTACCAGGGGTCTGGAGCTGTTGGGTGTGCTTTTCACTGCCCGCGTTTGTTGCTGTCCCCACCAAACGCTCACCTGGCTGAGGAGCTGCAGACCTCAGGGGGCGGTGAGGGATAGAGCAGGGAAAGGCTGGTTCCCCACAGCCCTGCCCTCCGTGAAGAACAGCCCTGGTGGCACCTGCCCTCCAGCTCAACACGGAGCTGCCCCACGGGGGCTGCGCTTTCTAAGCACAGATGGTTGTAATTTCCTCCCAAAAGTGTCTTCCTCTTGCACCCACCTCGTTGCTGTAGGCGAATAGCTCAGCCGCCTTCCTTCCACCCTGGGCCTTCCCTTTGGGAGCTGGGTTGAATCGCTGACCTACGCTGGCTGCCTCCACGCAGCTCCACTTCGCACTCAATGGCCCTCTTGTTTCCATGTCGGTCTGTTTGGTCCTCATGTATTTTAGACATTTTTTATTTATCTTTCCTTTCCCGCTGTTTTGCTTTGCTTGCTGCTCCATTGCTATTCCTCTATGACCTGTTTTGGCTGTTTACACCCTTTCTGTTACGGATGTCTGTGTTGTGCAAATCCTCCTTTGCTCTTGGTGCCTTGTTGGGAACCTCCACTCTTTCAGATAACGTTGACTCACAGGCTCTGTGGACGCAGTTCGCTGCCTTCTTCCCAAATTCTGCAATGTTTAAGGGATGTAGAAAGGGCCGTTTTCTGTCATCTGCCTCTCCCTGGGCTCAGGGACATGGGTTGCATCGCTCCTGAAATGGCATTGACGAGGCTTTGTCCTCCTCAGCAGCGAGTCATGGCGTCACTTCAGAGGGCTGGAACTGCAGGTTTTTAAAAGTTTACCACGTTATGCCCTTGGTGGCCTTTTGGAGTCAGCTGTTGCTCCTATCCGTGATGGGCACCTGAGCTGTTTGGTTGAAGGGAACCTCTGCGTAGAGCAGGAGGACACAGGAGCAAAGCTGGGCTGTGCGGAGGGGCCCCCCCAACAGCAGGGACATCTGCTCATGGAAGAGCGAGCGTGCGGCTCGGCATGGGGGTGTCCGATCTGCCACCCTCGGGTGGGGGGCGCTGGATTCTTGGTAGCCCTCAGCGGGTTGGTCCATAGTTTGCTTCTCTGTGACTGTTTCCTGGGGACCGTTCTTGACATGCGCGCGCATGTGGTGTTGAGGATAGGATATGCTTTTAGGGACAGTGTGCATTGTTTGGGAAGCTGCTTTCCTGGCCTCGTCTCAGGGCCAGCACCAGAATTCCCAAATGGAGAGAGAAGGAAATAGTGCAACCCGCAGTGTTAATATGCTAATAAAAAGGCTTGTTTAACCTCTAACAACTTCAGCTGGCAGGGGGGAAGGAAAGGAAGACATCAAAAAAGTCACTATTTGATATTTGCTTCTAGGCAGGGCTGGTCACCTGCTCACAGGCTGTCCCACAGAAGAGCCTGGCGTGTGTTTTCTGAGGTGCTCCATGTCTGCCCTTCCAGTGTTCTTGAAAGTCCTCGGGAAGAAGGTGTTTGGACTAGAGCTGCAGCGTTTTATTCTCTATGGAGATTCCGCCCATGTTTAATGGAGTAACAAACCCTGTAGGAAGCAGCCTTCCTCCTGGTGTTCCACGGGGAACCCTTGGTGACCTGGGGCAGAACTCAGCAAAGCCCCGGCCAGCGGTGCCCGCGCAGGGCTCCCTGACCTGCCTGGCCGCGCTCCTCCGGCTGCACCCTCAGCAGCCCGGCCCGCGGCGCCGCCTGCTCCGGCAGCGCCGCCGTACAGGAGGAGACATGGGATGCGCCCCCCTGGCTCGGCACCGGCTGCGGTTCCCTCATCCCCTTCCCCAGAAAGCTCCAGCCTTCTGCTGCCTCCAGACCCCTTCTGGTTAGTTTTGCAGCTCTGCTCCGTGTCGTGGATTGTAGTGTTCTGGCTATTTTGATATTGATTTTGAAGGTATTGATTTTGATTTTGAAGGTATTCATGTTCTTTTTTTAATAGGAAAGAGGAAGTTGGGTCTAAGAGCGTATGCAGGGTAACTATAATGGACTTGTGGAGGGTGAAGTTATACTAGGAGCTTTACGGTTGTGTGAAACCTCAGCTCAGCCTGTGGGATGGGTAGGCAGTGTTTCCAAATCTTTGTCTACTGCTTTTTTTAGTGTCTTTGCTCTATTTTCTATTTGATTTTGCTCTATTGGATCAACATTAAGTTTGCTCTTGCAACTCTTAGTCTGGCACTTGCTTGACTACAACTTACCCAACAGTCTTTTAAGATACTGTTTAACTGCTTTAAGATACTTTAACTGCTTTAAAGATACTGTATGATAATAAAAGGGTTGTGACTGAGTCTGTGGTGCTTTAAAGCCCTTTCCAAGGGTGAGCCCTAGAGAACTTTGCAAAGAGGTTTGATATTCTACCAACAACCCGGAAAGCAGCGGAAGAGGGAGAAGGAGACCGGCCGGCAGGCGAGCGGCAGCACAGCACGAGGCTCTGGGATCGCAGCCCAGGCCCTGTCTGTAGGGCACGGGGAGCTGTCTGGAAGAGAAGAGGAATAGGAGGAGTTACTAAAACCTGGGAGTTTCGTAGGGTCGTTGGAGTTCTGGAGAAAAATCCTGATTGTGGCAGGGGGAGGCTGCTTTGTGCCATGGAGAAAAGCATGTGCCAGTCCCGCAAGCCAACCGCGAAGTGCTGCTAAAAAGTGGGAAGGAGCAGGACGAGGTGGCTGCAGGAGCCTCGACCTCGCGTGCAGCGCGCGGGCCTTGGCCGAACTCGCTGATGGGGTGCTTCGCTTTCCTCCTCTGTTCCAGCTGAGGACCACCCAGAGTCAGGTCTGGCAGCGTGACAGCAGGCTGTGCTCGCAGGCCGTGCTGCCCGGGGTGTCCGATCTGCCTTGTGGGGCTCCTAGCTTACTGCCAGCCCCTTGCTTTTCCTGTGCTGTCCAGGAAAACAACATGGAAAAGAAATTCTGCTAAAATAACCTTGCTTGAATGCCCTGCTGCCTTCCATTCTTAGCAGCACCATAGCGTGTTGCTGTGGCAGTTGTGTGACGTTTTCGGGCGGTTTGAAGACCACTAATGATTGTTTTTCCGGTAGAGCCTGTGCTCCCCGCCTGCTGCCTTTGTGCACGTGTGATTCTGCAGGAGCTGCTGCGCGGGGCTGCTCTTCCTTTCTCAGGAGCGGAGCCCTCTCCCCGCTGTGCTTGGACAGCCCCTCGGTGCGGAGCGGCCCGCGGTCCCGCAGCAGAGCCCCTGTGAGCCCAGACCCCGCGCCAGCAAACGGGACCAGCAGCAGAGCCCCTTCCTGCAGGGAGTCTGCTCACCCAGGCCAGCCCCGCGGGGTGAAGGTGTCTGGGCTGAATCCCACAAAGTCACGACAGGTCCCAAATCTCCCAGAAAATCTTTTTCTTTCTTTTATTCCGTGTGCCTGTTGGCCTTTGTTCTATTTTGGAGTTTCTTTTTCCTGTTTGCAAAGAATTTTTGGAAATTAGCATTACCATTGCTCAGGTAATTATATTTACCCAATATTGCAGATCTCTCTGCTGTGTTTTCCTGGTGCAGGAGGGGAAAAACAAAACAGGTTGTGGATATTGCGTGATGATTTTAGGTCACCTTCCTACATCCTGATGGTTTTTTTCGAAACCGTCACAGTATGAGGTGTTTCCAGGAGTGATGAGAAATTTGAAGGCTGAAGAGAGTGTGTAAGAGCAAAAGTGGCCCTCAGGAAGAGCCTGGGAAATTGGTGGGCTGCACTATCCCCTTCTCTGACAAGACAAACTCCTCTAGCAGAGCCCCGAGGCCTGTTGCTGGTAAAAAAACGCTCGGATCCCCTTTGGCCCTGGGGCTGGTGGTTCTGCCAGTGCCAGCGCGGGCAGAAGAGCCGGGGGACACTGCCTGCCACGTGCAGCGACGCCTGGGAGCAGGTGCCAGGGAAGGACACGGAACACTGCGGCATAGGCACGAAATACTGCAGAGCTAAAAGCGACCGCTTCTGAGCATGGGTAGCCCTGTGGCAAAGAGGTGTCCAGGGAGATGCCTTTGGAAGCCTCTCGATGTCACCTGAGTCGCGGCACTGTGAACAGGCAGGGGCAGCCCGGTGTCCCTGGCGTCTCGGACACCACCTGAACTGCCCTGTCCCTCCCTGGATCTGCGCTGGGCCCCGCGCTCGGGCTCTGCCTTGGCCCGGGGGTGGCGCGTGGCGTTCCT